ATTACTACCACAGTACATTTTCAATAGTCCATACACATTTCTGCTGGATTGCATCCAATTCTTTGTTAGTATGTATGTATTTGAGCTCGAGCAATTACATGCACTTTTGCTCAGGGTCTAGAAGGTCTGGATGACTGGTGAAATCTTACACAGACTTACCTGGAAGTCGGTGTGGCTTATATCTGAGCAGGCATGGATTGGATTTTGCTTTCGTTTTAATGCACTGTCCTTTTGTATTTTAAAAAACTGATTGATGCACTTTTAATTTAAGGAGGAGGAGAACTTTGTAAGCCACTCTGAGCTCATTGGAAAAAAATGGGATCTAAATGATGATTACTGACTGGATGCAGTCATGCTTAAAGACTCACTGAAATCAGTAAGGATTGGGCAAGGTGGAGTGCTTTAAAAATTAGACCCAAACAAGGCCTACAACTCCCACCTTTTTCTGCCCAAACCTGCAGGATTGCACCCTTCAAAAGGATTAAAGTAAACCTCCTGGTTTTAAGTTGGTCCATTCTATTTATACCCAAGCTTGGATCTGGCCGATTTTCTTTTGCTAGCTGTTAATGATGCTAATTTTTCCAGTGGGTGATTCCGTCTATTTGTCTATTGCCGCAAAACCAGCAGAAGTACGTTGTGGCACTTTCAAGTTTCTGAGAGAACAAAATGGGCTTTTGTCTCTGAACAGGTCGAGCAAAATGCACGTGCTATCCTTTAAGAGCTACAGGAGTTCTCGCAGCTTTCGTCCAGTTCCTAACAGCAGGAGCAGAGGAACGCCCAAGGTGCTAACAAACTTAGCTGGGGAAGGGAAGGGATGGAGGCGAAAAGACGAGGGGAGGCACAGAGCAGGGATCTTATTTATAATGAAGCCAAGTAGTTGCCTTCTCTGCATGCCACTCTCTATATTGGTTCTAACGGGGCTGGGAAAAATCGAAGCGTACACCTTGATACAGGCTCAGGGGATGGAAGGGGTGGGGGTGAGAGACAAAGACAGGGAGGAAAGAGAGTGGGGTGGGGTTATTGGAAGAGAGGAAAGAAAGATGGGGAATGGGCAAAGGAGAGGCAAAAATTATCCTCTTAAGTCATTTTAGAGCCCAAAGAGACAAAACGTTCTGTGTTTTCTTCTCATTTTTACTCACTTTTTACAAAACGTCAACTATGCAGCTTTCTTTCATTTTTACCCAATTTACATCTGTCCTGAAGTCTCTCTCTGTGTGTCGTTAAAGGACTGCATGTCCTAAGGACACCCAGTTTGCACAAAGGGGTGTGCAGTCCAAGAAGAGGACCACACTGGATCGCAGAAAAGAATCTCAGGCAGAAAGATTCAAGGGGGTGGGCAGTAGGAGTCATGGGGTGGGGGCTGCAGAAATGCAAAGGGCCTCAGGACCTTCTGTTCAGCATGGATGGTGGCAAAGTGCCCTCCCAGAGACACCTGCACCAGGTGTTGGGGATCCAGCCCCTTGCCTCTGACAGTGCTGCTCTTGGTCCTCCTCCAGCACTGATTGCAAGATGAATTGCACCTCCTCTGTGTCTTTAAGACAGACTATATCAGATGACAGGTCTCCACATTCATCCTGAGCTTAATAACAAGCTCAAAAAATGTGGAGAAAACACATTTCTCCCTCTCTTATCAGAGGAGGGCTCAAAATTGAGCCATGAAATGGGTTTGGCAACCAGGAGTGAGCAAGTCTAACTCATAAGTCAGTTCCCTCGATTTCTGGGAGGGAGACTGGCAGGGTAAGGGTGCAATCCCATGCATGATTGGGCAGAAATAGGATCGCACCTTTCCTGGAGTTCTTCGCACAAGGATTGGCAGGCTGCGGAACTCCCTGCTACAAGATGCAGCACAGGCTAAGAAAGGGCAGCGCATCCTTCCATGGCCGAGTGTGAAGACGGCTTCATCAAGGGGATCTGCCACTGAATAAGAAACCTGGGGAACCACAAACCATTGGGGGGGGGGGGGAATGAAGGATTTCCTGCCCTACTTGTAGGCTTCCCCAGGGTATCCACGGGGACCCTGTGGGCGCTTCAGTCCATTTGTTGAACTGAACGTCCTCCAGCCAAGTGTTTTGCTGGGGCAGCCCGAGATGTTTGGTCTCCCATGTTCGCTTTGATGGGTCATAAGGATTTTTCACGCTCGTTAGCAGAAGGGGTGTGTGTGTGTGTGGGGGGGGGGGGGTGATCTGCAGCACACCTGGCCCCAAAGCTTTGCGCTTGAGCCAGACGGATCCCTCCACCTCCGAGTTTGCCTGGGCTCCCTCACCAGCCCGACCTCTCGCAGCTCGCCTCCCCTTGCCTATGCAAAGCGTTGCCTTGGTTATAGATAATTGATTGGCGCCGCCATTTGTAAAATGAAGGAGTTCTAATATCGATCTGGCGGGGAAGGGGGAGGGCGGGGAGACCCGCTGATTTGGACCTCTTCAGCAACATCCACACCTCGGGGCAGGGGCTGAGCACTGGGCTCGAGGCGGCCCCTTTGGGGCAGGTGGGGAAGCGATGGGGAAACCCATCGGGACGCAGGGGAAGGACGGACGGGTGGGCAGGGAGGCAACGGAGAGACACAGCACAAGGAAGGACGGGAGGAAGGAGAGCAGGAGAGAACCACGGAAGGACGGAAAGGAAGTGGAGGGGGAGATCCCCGCCGCTGCCAACCTTTGAACCGGCCACTTCAAGCTGACAGCAGAGGCGGGCCTCCCTTTCCTAGAAGCGGAAGCCTCCGGGTTCAACTGTTCACCCGGAGATTCAGGAGAAGCAAAAAAGAGATCTCTTCCTTTTGATACAGCACAAGCATGCCACTTGTGGGGTGCACTGCCCCGAGCGGACCGGGGTTTGAGGGTGCGCCAGCTAAGACGGTTTCCAAGGGGGTTAGATGGAAGGGAGAGCTTTGTCACTGGCTGGGAGCCATGATTATGAACGGAGCCCCCTGTTCAGTGGCAGTCTATCCCTGACTGTGGGCTCACTGCTGAAGAATGTGGGGATTCTTGCCAGGGCTCTGGGCTGCCCAGAAGCCGGAAACAGGCCTCTCCGCGAGGTGTTTTTCTGAGCTGATCCAGGAGGGCTCCTCTGGGCAGCACCCCACCCCCCAGGCCTCTGGAGACAAACAGTACCCCTCGGCAGGGGTGCCCAGCACAGGCTGAACCACGGGTTCGATGCAGTTTGTTGTCAGCCACCTGGAAAGCTTTGGCTATGGGCAGTATAGACATGAAGCAAATGGATAAAGACCTAGCGCCCGACTCTCAAATCCAGTAAGGACATGCAGCCCCTCCTCCTCGGAAGCCCTGCTGAAACCCCAGAGAACCAGAGCAGTGCCTGGTTTGGGGGGGGGGGGTCTCTCCCACGTGTGTGAATACCACCCAGGGCCGACACGTGTAAGAAAAGCAAATCAGTTCCTAAGACCTTTATGAACTGCCCCGCTCAGGATTGGACTCCAATCCATCCCTCACCAGGAATAAAGAATACACTGAAGGTTCGCATTTCTCCATGTTTGCTGAATTCCTCGATTTCGGAGCAGCTCTGCTTGCTTGCCTCGCCAGACACTGTTGGCCCTTCTGGGATCGGGGCTGAATAAAAACTGCCACTAGTCCCAAGGGGTCATTCAAAGACCTTTTCCTTCAGTGCCCAAATTAATGCAGACACTGGTTCTCTCAGAGGCCACAAAGATGCTGTAACTGGGGGCACCCCCTCCCCACCTTTGAAAACGAGACGATTCTACCAAGATGGTGTGGGTTAGCCAGGCAGGGGGTGCTGGTGCGCATATTCATTTCTTAATTGGGCTAATTAAAGGATAACTCTGTACCTAGCAAAGCAAGCATGCCAGGAACCGAGAAGCAAATGATTAGCCTATTTTGGAGGACAAATCCAGGGGTGCTGGAGAAAGAGGAGGAGGAGGAAACAATGAACCTAAGCACGTTGGATTCTCTCCCCAGATGGATCCAGCTTCAGCGCTACTTAGAGTAGGTTCACTGAACTATGTGACCTGCCAGGAATTTCATGCACTACAACGAGTGTTCACCCCTACAACCTACGTTATACATGCTGTAAGCGATTATATGTAAATCCATACAGACCCTGCTACACGTGTCTCTTCCTCTGTGGATCTGACACGGGAAGCTTCATGTGGGCAGTGGCGGGAAGGGCACAGGGGTCTTGATTATGAATCTGTCTTCTGCCCCAAACATTGCTGGCCTGTACTCATCACACGTGTGGGTATACTAATAGCGTGTGTGTGTGTGAAGCGTCCGAGAGAGACAGGCGTTGTAAAGCCATCCTAAGGAGGGACATTAATGTTTGGGGGGAGCCGGGATAAGGCATGCATTGAAGGAAACAATTCACACCTGACACGGGTTACCAGGTCGCTTCTGCCTGACGCTGCTGCGTGCAAGCACGGAGGGCCAAGCTGGAGGGGCCGCTGCGCTTTTTATGCCTTTCTCTCTTTCTCTGGAGTTACACCCCGGGCATTTTGGGAATTAGATGAAGATTCTGGACGGCCGCTGCGCCACAGACGGCTCTGCAAGGTCCTCGCACGGCCCTGGAGCGCCGTGAGGGACCGACCCGAAGGAACAGGCGAGAAGGTGTGCAGCGATCGCATCGGGATCACACGCCCGCGGCGAGACGGCCAGCGGCTCCTCTCTGCCTACAGGGTGCTGGGCAGCTAAGCGACGTGCGAACCGGCGCTTTCGCGGGAAGAAGCGCTACCTCTGGAGGCGAGGCGACTGCGTCCCAGCCAAGTGCCCCGTCCGACCGCGAGGGCTCCGTCGCCGCGCGAGGCGCGTGCAGCAGCCCGGCTCGCCCACGCCAGCAGCCCGACCCACGCGCCGGGCACCCTCGGGCTCCCTGTCCTTCCGGGGCTGCTGGCGCCTGCCCAGCCGCGCGCCCCCGTCGCCCCGGGATGGCCCTGCCCGCTCTCCTGCGCGCCTCTCCAGCCCAGGCCGCGTCCGACGCGCGGAGCGCCGCCTCTCCCGGACCCCCTGGCCCAACGGGACGGGCCCGCCAGCACCTACCGGCCAGCCGCAGGGCGGACATGCGCTGGAACTCGGGCTCCTGCAGCCACTTCCACATCCTGCGAAAGGTCTCGCGGCCGGACTTCAGCTTACTCCAGGGCTTGGGGTTGCGCAGCAGGTCGGAGAGGGTCCCCTGCGAGCGGCACAGGATGCGCTGCGCGAAGATGGCCTGCGGGATGCTGTAGCGCTTCAGCTCGGCCGTGATGCGCTGCGCCACCTCCTTGGTGTTGATCTCCTCCACCTGCCCGGAGCCGCCGCCGCCGCCGCCGCCGGCCTGCGAGCCGGACGCCGCGGCCTGGCGCTCGCGCTCGCCCAGCAGCGCCCCGTTGGCCTGGCCGTGCGCGTGGCCGTGCGGGTGCATCCCGTTGAGCACGGGCATCATGCCGGCGGCGCCCGGCGCGCCCAGGCCCCGGGCCAGGTGCTCCTCGCCGCGGTTCAGCAGGTGCGGCTCGAAGCCGTTGGGCGAGAGCAGCTTGTCGCCGGCCAGGGGGCCGCCGGGCCCGTAGGGGGGCAGCGGCTGCTGTCCGTTGTGCAGACCGCCCAGGCCGTTGGCCAGCGGCGACAGGGGCTGCCCCATGGCCGGCATGTCCTTGGGGTAGTGGCCGTACAGGTTGCCCATGGAGGCGGCCAGGCTGCGCTCCTCGCGCATGAGGCTGAAGCCGCCGCCGACGCTGCCCGAGAGGCGCTGGTGCGCGGCGTGGTGGTGGTGGTGGTGGTGGTGGTGGTGCGGGTGGTGGAACTTCTCCGAGACCGTCGAGATGGGCGGCAGGTGCTGCAGCGGCGTCAGCGTGGTGTAGGTGCTCATCCCCGACGGAGAGTCGCACGCCATGCTCATGGCCGGGTGCAGCGGCGCGCCCAGGCTGTGCTCGGCCGGCCGGTAGTCGCCCGCGCCGTCCAGCAGGGTGGCCATGCTCGACACCATGGCCGGGCGCCCGTGCGACGAGACCAGGTTGCGGTGCGCCGGCGGCGGGGGAGGCGGCGGCGGAGGGGGCTGCCTCGCGTGCGCTCCGGCGGGGCTCAGGAGCTCCCCGGCCTGGTGCAGGTTGCCCAGCCCGTCGAGGCTCAGCTCCATCGCGCGCTCCTCGGCCCTGGCAGGCGGTCGCCCCCTCCCGCCGCCTCCTCCTCCTCCTCCTGCCGGATCTCCGCCTCCCCCTCCGCCTTCCTCCTCCTCCTCCACCTGCTCCCCCCGCCGCCTCAAGCCAGCTCTCCAGCCATTTCAGGAGCTCGCCATGCGGCACTCGGGGCGCACGCGGCGGCGGGGCGCGCGAGCCACCGCGGCGGCTCCCCTCCTGCGGCTGCGGGCTGCGGCTGCGGCTGCGGCTCAGGCTGCTCCCGTCGCTGCCGCTGCCGCCCAAGGCTGCGGGGATGGGCGCTCGCCCGGCGCGGCGCTCTCCTCCCCCTCCGACGTCCAGCGGGCTGCGAATCGCGGCGCGGCCTCCCTCCCTCCGCCCTGACGTCACGGCCGCCAGCCCCGCGCCCTCCCCGCCCCCTCCGCGCGCCCCCTCCCCTCCCGCCCCTCCCGCCCCGGCCGCGCAGCGCCGCGGCCACCTGCCGGC